TGTTTCACTGCGTTGTTTTGGGAAAAATAATCATTATGCATATGAAAAAATCTGTTTGAGAGAGGGATTTAGAAGGAGGATCTGGAGTTTAAGGGAGATTATATTTCCATTTGCTGTAGGTAAATTATGTCTTCTGGCTGCAGGGGAGGGGACCGAATACCCTGTCAGAAGGAGGTGTGTATAAGAGACAACTGGTCACTTCAGTGCTAATGAACAATCAAGGACATTAATTGAGGAGAAATTAAAATTTTAATAATTTTTACTTCAGAGCATTTTCTGGAGGAGTCCTCCTTAATGAGCAGCTCCTTTTGCTCTGCAGTGGGTTATCCTCAACAGATAGGTGTGATTGGTGGTGATGGAAGTGCGCCCAGGCTCTCCAGAATAGGGGCCCAGTGTAGATAATCTGCTGCCATAAACACTTGTGCATATTGTTGACAGCCCCTCAGACTCAGGATTTGCAGAGGGACTAGTGGTTATTTAAAAAAGGAAGTTGAAACTGTGAGGAGTAAAAAGCAGAACTATCGATATATCTTAGTCCTTTAAAAAAAACTGTGGTGCTTGTGCTTTTTTAATGGCAATGTTCAGTTTATTCAGCTCCAGCTCAGCTGAAAGGATGTTTTGTGCTGGAAATGAGAGACTACGGGGTTTTCCTTGGGCAAGACAGTACCATGAGGCGTTCAGATGGACCTGTGTCTGAGGGAAGCTGTTGGTGTTTGCGGTTGAGCACCACTGAACAGAGGAGGGTGGCAGCCAAGCAATGCTAATCGTTTTTGTCTATTTTTGATTCCCAAGGAGCAAGTAGATTGTGTTCCTCTCAAAAGCAAACCAGAGAGTAGCAGCAGATGGGTTTCTGTGGGGTTTGACTCCTTTTCTAACCCCAGTCTTTGTATTGTGGAGCCTCCCGGCCCTGCTCACCTCTGCAGTCTCTGTTCTCCTTCAAACCTTCCTGACAAAGAGGGCTTCTTAGAAAAGTGGGTTTGCAAGACTGCCACTCTGCAGGCATCGTGCTCTGCTTTGTGAATTCAGTACGTTTTCTGCTTGGAGCCTGTTTCCTCCCACTGTTTCAGCAGCACAAGGAGCCTTTTAATGGCAGCTCCCAGTGCTGTGGCAGTGGGAGGCATGGGCTGGCGGCACTGTGGTATGGCGAAGGCCTTTGGCT